TTAAATATAAATAATATTTTTACAATTATAATAAACATTTAAAACATTTGTTTAAATATTAAATAAATATTTTTTAAATATTAAGAAACATTTTTCCTAAATGTTAAAATAAACATTTTTTAATGAATAAAAGAGGACTTAACACATTATTTTAACGTTTTTTAGAATGTTTTAAAAAATGTTTTCCAAAAATTTTTACAAACATTTTAAAAAACATTGTTTGCTGATTGGGTTGCATCGCTTCGTTAGATGTGGTATCTTTGTTCACCAACGTACCGATTGAAAATACGGCTGATAGCATAAAAAAACGATGGGGTCAGATAATAGGTCATACTTCCATACCACTCAATGAATTGGTTATGGGTATCACTCTTGTTCTGAATTCCACGTTTTTTAAGTTTAACAATAAGATGTACAAACAAGTTTTTGGTACACCAATGGGCTCTCCATTATCCCCCATCATAGCAGACATTATTCTGCAAGACTTAGAATGTTTAGCCATAGAACGTTTACCATGCACACCGTCTTTTTATTTTAGATATGTTGACGACATCCTTATTGCAGTCCCTAACGACCTTCTAAATGAAACTTTTTCCATCTTCAATTCCATACATCCAAGATTACAATTCACACTGGAAGTTAGTAATAAAAATCAGATAAATTTTCTCAATATTTTAATTATTAATGACAACTTGAAAATTATTTTTGACATTTTTCACAAACCTACATACTCGGGAAAATATTTAAATTTCTATTCACACCACCCTTTAACGCACAAAAAAGGCGTTATTTTTGGCATGGTTGATATGGTACTATTGTTATCCCATCCACAATTTCAACAGAAGAATTTGGAAAATATATTAACAATTTTGTTAAACAATAGTTATCCAGATTTTATTTTCTCAACTATTAAAAATAGAATAAAATTTCATATACACAAGAATTTTAACAAAAAGGACAACAATAATAATGCAAATACTAATAATAATAACAAAAGAAAGATTTTTACGATTCCATATGTGAAAAATTTATCAGAACAATTTGTTCAAATTTCAAAAAAGAACGATTGCATGTTGGCTTTTTCATGCAACAATAAATTGAACAAATTCATAAAAACTGGAAAAGACTATTTGGATAGAATGAACCAGTGTGAAACTGTCTATAAGATTTCATGTCAAGACTGTGACGCTACGTACGTAGGACAGACAAAAAGACAATTACGGACTAGAATAAAAGAACACAGAACAGATATCAATAAAAAATCAAGCTGTCCCTCAGTTATTTCTTGCCACAGAATGGAATTCAATCACGACTTCCAATAAGACGAAATCGACATATTAGACCAGGGCTCGGAATTATTTCATCTTTTCGGCCGATTCTCATGGTATAAGCCTCCTTTCCTCTCTTTACCGTGCGCGCGGCAGCCGCTAGAGCCAGCGCCGCACAGT